TTAGCCACCCACTGGTCCTCATACGCTGCCCACACCACTTCACTCGGAGATAAAATTTTAATACATTTAGTGAAACACTAACCTGCGAGATGAAGACCCACAGCTGGCACAGTCCTTTGTACAGGCCTATGCATTTTGTGAAATCCCTTCCTGCGAATCTAGGGAACTTACCCTGCTCTCAATACAACTGCCTGAAATTAATTAGCTCAAGTCATGGGGGTTAACTATCGTAAAACTGATCAAGCCTTCTCCTGCACATTTAAAATGCAAGAACTCTTGCAGAGAGACACCATGTTTTCATTGTATGCTGAAGTTTATGTACAGCACAAAGGGTCTCCAATCTTTCTAACACATGGCCTTCAAAGCAAGAACCAAGAAACAGTGTTTTCAGAAACACTCAAATAGTCCAACTCAGGTGAGATGAAAACCAAGAACAAAGAAGGCTGGCAGTGGTGGCACAGTTCTAATGAAATTTTCACGTTTCCTGTTCATTTCACACCAGTGAAACGCTCACTAAAAATTCCTGTTAATCAGGACTTGCCATGTTGTAACTTGATTGTGAGAAGATCTACTACCTTCTCACAGCTAGAATAAGACAAAATCCTGCAGCTTTACTCAGAGAGCATTGCAGTCATCTGCCTTTTGTGAGGGTGAGAAATTCAGGGGGCACACACGTACAAAGCAAACATTTTTAAGTTACTTTGTACTCTTAATTGCAATAGCAGACACACACAGCTCTCCTTATACACCTCTTACAGGTGTCGATAAACTACGAACTGGTAATTCAATCTTCCACAACATCTGTACTAATTTTACAATTATCCCAGTTGAATGGCCTACAATTTTACTATCAGGAAAATTAATACAGAATCCATTTTTTAACCTTTCTTCCAACCGTGAATTATTTAACTGACCTTGTTTCCTCTTAAGAACAGGAACTCTACTGTGTCAGTGGGCCTCATCCTCACTTACCTTCTAACTTGAACAACAAATTATAATCACTGAACAGAGATGCACCTGGCTATCAAAATAGAATTGTGCCATTATATATATTTCTAGTGCTCTCTGCATAAATACAAAGCACAGAAGAAAAACCAGACTCTCAGGTTTTATTTAATTCATTTTCCAATTTGCTTGAAAGGCCTTTCAGAGGCATTTATGTATTTCTTGGAACAGGAACTCCAGAAAGACTGATTCGGGTAGATTCTGCATACAGACTTACTTAGGACAGTTTACCCCTAACAGAAGTGGCTGTCTGTGAATTACTGATTTAACAATGACAATTTGAAACAGTCCCCATTGCAGCGCCTATTTGAAAATATCCCTATCGTATCCTTTTATCTTTTTCCTCTCCAGCCTGCTGAAAACATCTCCTTGCCTCCCTGCATGACAAAGCATCTAGAAATTATTCATGCTCTAAGGCTTGCAATATGAAAAGCTGTTGAACTCCCAGCGATCTTGTTTCTTTTGTCCTTGTGGGAGATTAAAAGAAGAAAACCAAGGTGACTCAACAAGAAACAGATTAAAAAAAAAAAAGAAAGAAAAAAACCCACATGGTAAAATAGGCAAGAAGCAGTGCATTAGAGCACAAATGCAAAATCATGAAGGACCAAATGCACCATTGATTGGAGACTCAATTGCTTTGAGCCCTGGACTTCATCCGACTGCTGCATACATGTTGGCAGGCTTCACTACAGACTGGTTTTCACCTTTGTTGTTATTTTACTTGCATCATTCCTTATATCCAAATCACATATTCCTTTACTGATTACAAAAGAAAAAAAAAGCCACTGAATTATGGATAGGTAATGTTTTCTGCTCTCCATATTTGAATGCAGACTTGGTTTATTTCCTTCTCTGTTGATAAATCAACGCTAAGGCCTTAGCTTTTTCTCCCTACTGCTGAGCAGCTTATTGCTACTGTATGTTGCATTTCTTCTCTTCCGAAAGAAAAGACAGCCTGAGCATAGTGCCGTGACCTGAATGTAAATTCATGTAACACTTTCCCAAAGGTCTTTTTATGAAGTAATTCAACTTCTGTTTTAAAATTACTTCACCTAAATTGTTTTAAGAGTTCCAAGTGTTCATATTTTCCAACTGCAGGAATAAAGCAAAGTATACGGTTAAGTAACAAGAAAATTACCAACCCATCAGTCACTGGAGTAAAATCATAAAATAGAGAAACGTGCTATCTGTCAAAACACGAACAAAGCATGCTGAGCTGAGCTCAGAAGGGTCTCAGTGAAAGGAGGAGAAACCATGGCTTGTCTTTCATGCTGGGACAGGCAACCCCTGCTCAATTCCTGCGGGAATGCATCAAGGATGACAAAAGGCAGCAAAGAATTGAGGGAAAAGAAATTCTTCCAGTTTATAGAGAAGAAAACTGAAGTTGTGACAACATTCACAAGATGCAAAAAGGAGAAAGAAGCAGGGGGAACAAACAAACAAACAAAAAAATAGGCCTGTCTTACTGTTGGAATGAATTAATGGAAAAACTTCAAGGATAGACTTAACCTGAATATCTAGGACACTAATCATCAAGAACTAAGTCTGTCATGGCCGATAAGAGCGTGAAACTGAGCAAGAAGATTAAGAGTAACTCTGCAACTTTATGTCTGGCTAATGCATAGAAAGAAAAAATCAGATAAATGAGACTGTATTAGGGGACATACACAGGGCAGGATAACACAAAGCACATAAAACTACTACCTTAAATGTAAGCAAACATCAGATAACCAGCTGATCTGGAGAAACATACTATCTAAAGCCAAACAAGCCATCTCTTCTTACAGGGAGAGAGGAAAATAACAAAAACCCTGAGTCACCAAGTCAAATGCAGACTAATATTGCTAATATGACAATACTTTGTGATATTTAAGATCAAATTATGAAAAAAAAAAAATGTACAGAATATGCACAAGTAGAAAACAAGAGAAAACGCAGCATGAAGTTACCAACAAGAGATTTTTAAGAAGGTAACCAGATATATTTTTCATAAGGAGACTACCTGCCAGGCAAGAAAGTGCTGAAGATCAAAGCCTCCTTTCCTACCCTATCATGAATATTTCACCCTTCAAACAAGGTTCAGATCCCATGTCTCTACATCTACAAGACACATGCATTGCAGCCTTTCTCTTATGTTTCCTGCCTTTTCCTAAGTCATGAAGTGAATTCTCTCAAGCTTTGGTGAAATAGGTCATCTCCATTTACTCAGACACACTCAAAAGAAACTCAGAATCAGCTTCAGACTCTGATGCTTATCATGGTATGATGACTCATACACTGTAATTGGAGAGTGAATCTGCCCAGGGTTCAGTGAAGTATTTGATATGGCTGTTCACTGAAAATCCTCCTCGAGAAAAAGATTACTGCAACCCTTACAATAGATTCAGAAAGCAGCAGGGTGAACATACTAAGAATTTTTAAGATTGAACTCATAGATTTATGAAACATTTAGATGACATGGCTGCACGCATAAGATAAACATCTGTGTAATGTAGGAAGCACTTCTGAATTCTGTCTTCACGTGATCATCTCCATATTTGCCTCTTAGAGGCAGGTAAGGACATGGTTTACTCTTAAGAAGTTCAGCAGAACAGCTACAGTTTTCCAACACTCAATTCCAATGGCATCCTGGCTTGTGTTAGGAACAGTGTGGCCAGCAGGAGCAGGGAGGTGATCGTCCCCCTGCACTCGGCGTTGGTGAGGCCAAACCTCCAGCACTGTGTTCAGTTCTGGGCACCTCAACACAAGACAGACCTTGAGGTGCTGGAGAGAGCGCAGAGAAGGGCAACAAAGCAGGTGAAAGGCCAGAGAATAAGTCTCATGAAGAGCAGCTGAGGGCACTGGGGCTGTTTAGTCTTAAGAAAAGGAGGCTGAGGGGAGACCTTACTGCTCCCTACAACTACCTGAGAGGGCATTGTCAAGGGGCAGGTGCTGGTCTCTTCTCACAGGTAATTAGTGACAGAACAAGACTCAAGCTGCCCCAGGGTAGGTTTAGGCTTGACATGAGGGAACATTTTTTCACTGAAAGGGCTGTCAGACATTGGAATAGGCTGCCCAGGGAGGTGGTTGAGTCACCGTCCCTTAATGTGTTTAAAGGTCAGTTAGATGTGGTGCTTGGAGATATGGTCAGACGTGATGATCTCAAAGGTCTTCTCCAACCCGAATGATTCTATGAATTCAATAGACATCACTTCTGTTGAGTGCTCATGGCCAGTGTGAGACTCTACTTCAATAAAGCAACTATTTCTTTTCCTATTTAAAACTCTCCTCTAACTGTGTAATATCCGTAATAAAGAAAACATAGAGTAGAATTTAAAATAAAATACCAATTTCAAGAACACATATTTTCTACATTCTGTTTTAAATCTGTTTCTTAACTGAACAGTAACCACACAGCACTATCTACCTAAGACATTGTGTAATGCACCCATTAAGCAAGAAGGCACTGTGAAAAAATGAAAAGCTGATGATGCTTTTTGTATTGCACATGTTGCAGGAAGAGGTATTCTTATAACTCAAATCTTCATTTGCTTTCTCATAAATCTTGCTGCATTGTCAAAGTTCCTAGAGCAGAGGAAGGCAGGAGTGCCTCGATTTCCCTATCAAGCCAGCAGTATAATACGCAGCATAAAACAAAGTGTTGGGTTTGTGCAGAAGCATTACGTTTTTCCAGTTGCCAAAACATTAAATGACTGTGTGATTCTCCTTTCAAGACCTATACTGGAAACATACTGTTAAGCCCATACTGTTCTCTGCTGCTACTGTGTGGCAGCACCAACACTGACAAGCCTCTGACAATCCTCAGTGACTATCAGTGTTGCCTTCATGCTTTTGCTCCTTCAAACACTAGAGGAAAAAAATGTTTATGGCTGAAAAAGGAGATGTAAGACAATCTGAAAGAAATACTACTTTTAAAGCTAATCCTCTCTTTCACAGCAACTATTCCTCTTTCTCCCTACCAGTTGCATGTTAACACCATGAGTACTGTACCTTACCTCAGAGCTGCTTGGGGCTTCTGATCCTGCAGTTGAAACAGTTTCACATAAAGGTCCATTGCACTCTTCCCCTAAGGAACATTGAAAGAAAGAGATCCACATAAATACATTCCTTATTTTGAAATATTATTGTATCTGAAAATGATGTGAACTCTGAAGGCACGGAACCATGAACAAGCAAAAGCAAAAGCTGCAAGTAATACTCAGCTACATAAAATCTTCAAGAACGGTTCTTCGAAGGGGAAAAAAAAAACACTGCAAGACACAATATACTCAGTCTGTACTACCTATCTGTAACCTTGCAGTCACAGAAATATATTTTTAACTGTAGCAAACAAAAATCTGTCAGCGTCACGTACCTTTCTTGTCTCAAATGTCTGCTAGGTTACTATGAGGGCCTCATACCCAGAGCTTTGCTGCCTCAGTTATGAAAGTTCAGTTATCGCTGGGGCTCCTTGCTAGAAACTGAATTAGTTTTTACGTTGCTAAGGAATTAATGGTGCATAACCTCAAGATTACAGATACCCACATAATGGAGATATGATGACAGGGTCAAGAATAGTAATATCAACTTGAATTACCAAACAAAACCCTACACCTTCATTTTAACAACAGTGTTGAGCTCCAACATGACTTTCCCACAAATATAGTCAGTTCATCAAGGACATTGTTACTCAAATGTTAACATTCTAGGGAAAAATCGCACTGAATATCTTCAGATCCCTAAATCATAATGAGACATTGGCTGGGTTAGTGGCTCTGAACCTACTCTGTCACCAGTTTCCTCTGGACAGTAATTCAAAGCCCATAAACTAGGCTCTTGCTCCAAGAAGTTTTTGTAAACAACCAGTCCCCTAAATCGGGCATCTAAGTATCTCCACCACCAATGGTAAAAGATAAGCAGTTTTGAAAACAACTCATCACAACCTAGATCAGGCATCTAATAACGGTGCCTCTTTCTTCCAAAAAAAAAAAAAAAAAGGATTCATCATACTGCTTTCTCTATCAAGGAAGTATTGCTGGGTATAGGTTAGACTGGACCACTGTCAAGACGACAAGTTAGGTTATTTCTACCAATAAAACAAACCTTTTTTTTTTTTTTTTTTGTAACCTGCAAATATTTGGTGTCAAAATTGCATCCAGGTAGGATTTAAACTGGTTCTTCCAAAATCTATAAGCAGCTACTTAAGCATAGCTTGAGAGCATTTTGTTTCCTACTTTTTTTTTTTATTCTGTCCAAGTTCACTTACAGAAAATGGTCTCTGTAATTTATAACAGCACATATGATGCAATGAGAAACTGGGCAATGGTATATAATGGTATATAACATATAATGAAGAAGTTTCTGAACATGAAGACATTTAAATTTTTCACATGCTATTCTGCTAAAGCAAACTATGGATGCAAAATCAGTATTAGTAGGTACAAGTTGAACACTTGAGTTTTTCTTTTGCACTTGCAGAAAGGACTTTCCATATGCTTATACAAGTGCGGAGACCAGCGTTAAGTCATCTCTAAACAGTTAGTGTGAAAGTAAATAATTTGGGATCATTCCTCCTACCCAAATATATCATCAATGCTACAGGGACTACGCTGTAAGACAGAACACCAAGCAGAAAAGGTTTACAGGAACAGCTTCAGCACAGAACCGAATTCAGTTCACCTCCCAGCACAGCACAAGCAAGTTCAACACGCAAGAGAAACAAATGGCACATAATGGGAGAACATCACAGGAAGAACACAGCACAAGCAAGTTCAACACGCAAGAGAAACAATGGCACATAACGGGAGAACATCACAGGAAGAACACGGAAGTCTTGACTCAAAAACCAACAACTATCAAAATATTCAGATTAAATTACATGAGAAACTGTTTCTGCAAGAATATTCCTGCGAGGCTCTACCTTCACACTGGGCAGGCTCTAAGCTTACGCAAACTCAGCAGCTGCCCAGGAGAGCAGATAGCTGCCTGACAGAGAAAGGGAGCATCACCATCACTCAGCTGCCTGCTCTGCCCGCACCCTGGGGGGCAGGCGGCTGCTGCAGCTTTGCCCAAAGGCATCAAGCCCAGGGCCCAGGAGCAGAAAGCCCAGACATTTCATCACACAACCCTCCACGGCAGGAGCAGCCTGGGCCCTTGTCCCTAGAGCTCCGCAGAACATTCAATGTGCCTATGCTGCCGAGAGGACCTGAATTGCTTCCACGGCCTACAACAACAGCCTTGGTGTTTCTTTTTTCTGGATTATCCCTTCTGTAGCTGTGAAAGTTTGACCTCAGGAACAAGCATAACTCAGAGTTCTACATTTTAAATGCTCTCCCAGCACCACAGCTGATTACTTATGCAACTTGTGGAAGGAATTCTATTGGTATCTCTGATCCGGGGGAATAAAACGGAATAACCCCAGAGCAGCACACAAGAAGGCAGAAAGAAAATGCAAAACATGTATTAACTGAGAAGTACGACATACTTAATACACTCAACCCTTGAACAACACATACACAGGGTCCTGAGCAGGAGCACTAGAAGAAACACATGTCCAACTCATGTAGGAAGGTATAAAGGAGCCGCAACCCAGAACTCCAACAAGCACCAGGAATGGAGATGCCCAATTAGTTCTCAACCAAGACAGCTGCCCACAGATTGCTAAGCATCAACTTGCAAATCACATTGCAAAAAGCCTGGCTCATTTGTGATACCACTGACTCACATAAACTTAAGTCTGGTTTCCAAGAGACTCCCAGCAGGAAAACAAATGACAGAGGACAAACACACAAAAGGGAGGAAGGCGTAACGCCGGTTAGTACAATACCTTCTGACCGCGATGGCTTGAAGTTGGTGAGAATCGCAATGTCATCTTTAAAGGGAAAAAACATTTCAGTAAGAACCAGAAGTAAAATCTATTTTTAACATAAATCCATTTAATAATTCTCCTCTATCCTTTACAACACAGCCACTATATCCAACAACAGAATAAGCCCTGGAAATCAGCAACTGTGACCTAGACAGAAAGCACAGAGCAGGTTCCTCCTGAAACACCAACATTGACCTTGTTGTCCAGGCACCTTATTCAGCACCACAAACACGGATGCCACTTTCCCGTATCAGCAGCAGGGAGGACCGTAACAGCTTCTTCTAGCCAAGAAAACACTTTTACAATTCTTCAAGAAATTACAATTCGTATCTAAAGATGGGAGTAAAACAATAATATTCTGATAAAACCATCATATTTAAGGGAATGGCCTTGTTCTTCAACACTGCACACTGTACTGTACATAAAGAGATCTAGAAACCTCTGCACACTCAGAATAACAAATGAGGACATCTACCAAACATAAGTGGCTCTTCAATATAAAATTCACTTGTATGAATTGCAGCCTTTCCTTGCAAATTTTTTGTTCAAAATTAAATCCAGAACGCTATGACTATGAAAACTCAATAAAATAGCTTCAGACATATATAATTTTAATATTTATTCAAATCATTGGCCTTTCATGGGCATGCACACATCCTAGCTGAAAGAAATGCCTCCTTCCCAATGTTACAGTCATCTCTGCACACAAGCTTCTTGCAACTCCTAAAACATGAGCGTCTTGGGGGTTTGTACATTATTGGAAATAAGTAAGCTTCACGTAGCCTATAATTTTGCAGTATTGACATATGCTGTCCCAGACTACACCCTACCGCAGGCAAACCTACTTATAAACATTCAGTATGCCACCCCTAAGAATTACAGGCCATTTCCATTTCAATTACAGAGCCGGACGATCAGAGCAGCAGTAATCCAAAACAGCTTACAGAAATCAACACTCAGAACTGAAGACTGGAGAACACAATCAAGACTGATTTCACCTCTTAAAATATTGTCAAAGGCCAATGAAAAAACCCTGGACTTTTTTAATTACTAGCACAGGCATAGCCAGTGACGCTCTAGCATCTTCACAGTACCTAACCAGCAATTTCCCTGGAAAATGATGATCTTTGTCACTCCAGCATCCTCAGTAAGCTGGGATCTGCTGGTAGATGGGAAGCAAAACGCTTGGCTGATGACGCTGCACTCAAGGTACAGCCAGGCATGGAGCAGCTGGTGGGTAGATGGTGCAGCCTGGCACAGTTCAGAGCAGCTCTGCATCAGGAAACAGAGCAAGAGAAGGGATTTAATTTTTCCTTTCTTTCAAATTCTATCACCACCAAATGGATTCATCTCCACCAAATAGAGCTCTTGGTAGATGTGTTTCTACCAGTAAAAACGTTAACATATTAGGTGCTTCTGAAGCCAAGTTGCAGCTGAATAGACACTGTTAAGGATGAATATTTCCATTTCACTGCTAAAACTAGAAAATCATCTGCATTTGCACACCTAAGACCTCTGACAGAGCTATTCCAAAGGCAAAGTCAGAGCCAGGATTCCCAGGCAAGTTTTGATAAACTTTATTGTTTAGCAGCAGTAAGACAGTATTACTACTGGTCCTGCTGTTACTTTCAGTATTGTTTCCAAAATACCGCTTCGATTTATTTCCAAGGTTTTCTCAAAGTAACAGCATCCTTTTCAATCAACAAAACTAAGCAGGTAAAAAGCGCTTTCAGACCTGTCATATTGTTCTGCATGTCTGACACATTTGTCATATCAGTTTATACACATACATATCCCTAGAGCAAAATTTTCATGGTGCAGGTAAAGTGGTGAAAAAAACCCCAAACAAAAAAACCCAAAACCCCAACAAACTGAACCAAATAAAACCCCCCAAATTTACATTGCAGTTGTCACGAGGTAGCTACTTTGTAATACAAAGAAAATTCCTAATATTCATCCTCACAAAGCAACAAAAGAAAATTTTATTCCTAGAGGACTTGAAGTTACCATCTTAATAAAGCCCTGCCTTTATTCAATAACCTAGCCTGCCTGACAATAAAGAGAAATCAATTTAAAAGATGATTATTTATCACTAAATCAACATGGCATTTACAGCACTATGTCCTTTGCTCCTAAAAGATCACCGTGGGATTACTGCTGTAGTGGGATCCGCTCTGACCGACTTCCATCTCTGATAAGGAGCCTGATTCAGCACTGAGTCACTAACAAAAATGCACACTGAACAGAGACCTCGCCAGAATAACGTCACTCGTTCCAAGTAAACTTCATACTGACTATTGTAAGTGCTTCCATATCTAACAAAAACACGGCTTTAAAATGACTTATTAACTAAATTTACGTGTATATTAACCATATCCTCCCAGAGCTGAATGACCGAGTTGCCATGGGGAACTGAGGACCCACCTAGTATGCTGGCTCCTGAGCAAGTACAAGAAGCGTTATTACTTCACCCAGCATCATCTAAAGAGCAATACTGCACTGCTGAGCCACAGATTCAATCTCAAGATTATGTCTGAAGTGGTGGTTTATGCGCACTCAGAGCTGCTCCTAAAAATTTAAAACTATTTCTTAACAACGAAAACATTAAATTCCCAGTAAATCCAAGAAAATTTATTTGGAACATTTAGAAACAATTTTATGATTCCCTTACAAAAAAAGAAAAATATTGCATTCAAGTATAGGCTGCTTCACAGGCCTATTAATTTTCATCATGTGTTTTATTATTAAACAAGCAATTCCAGAGAACAGGAGTTTACCAAAACATAAAAAGTAAAAGGAAAAAAGTAACTTTCATATAGGCATAAATATACAAAAGAGAAATCTGTTCCTAACAATAAGAAAACCTCATTTAGCATTTGGAAAAGACATGAAGTCCTCAGTTCTAATGTCTAGTACAGTAAATGGGTATTTTAAATCAGAACTTGAGGTTTACCCTCAGCTGCCTTCCTTTTAAAGAACCATAAAACCTTCCCTTTTGATTAAAAGGCAGTGGGATAAAAAAAAAAAAAGGGGGAGGGGGGGGGAAGTTCTGTAAATCTGTTTTTAGCAAAAAACCACAAGCATAGTGTTGTAACACAGAACTTGAATGGCATTTTAACGTGGTTACAGCAATAACCATTACCGTATTGTATGTACCAGCACAGACAAGACTTAAAGCATGCTGTGAGCGCTGAAGTTACCATTTATACCTTTCAGGCATCATAATTTTGAAGAATGACACATGTAAACTGATTAACACGTTCAAATCCAATTGAAAAAAAGAAAGCCCAGACCAGTGACAACCAGACAAAGTCAGGTATTTTAGCATGTAGATGCACGTAAGCAAGGGGGAACAGAACGGCAAATAAACCTCAGACGAGCCGGGCGGTAAAACAGCAAGACTGCAGAAGTCCCGACAACTCCTGAAGCGCTATGGCTTTGCTTGTCTCCAGTTAGGCTATTTATACGTGCAGGGCCAGATTTCATCAGCACTGTCTGACTGCAGAAGCACACAAACAGCTCGGGCAATGGCCTTGCACATATATACATGAAAGTGCCAGGTGCTCCTACACCTCCTTCACCAAAAGATAAAGAAAGGGGAACCACGGTATTGCTTTTCACCACAGCCCAAAGGAATGACAAGCACTTCAAAAGTGTTAGATACAGACTTGCTTTCCTAGCCTTGCCAGAGACACACTTAAAAATCTTACAGCATCATTCATTAACGCATTTCTCCAACTTCCACTGAAAATCACTGATGTAACCCTGAAGCAACCACGATTTGTTTTGGTAACTGCAACACACAAGCTTTCTAAAGCAGCAGAGGGCCCAATGTACTATTCATTCTACAGACATGTTACATTGCATCCTTGTACGGGCGATCTTCTATAGACACTGTAAGAGAAGAGCAACACATGAATAGGGAACTAATGACAGGAAAATGGCGAAAAAATGGTGGAAAGAGGTTTAGCATAAACTGGGAACACATATGTTGCTTTTTACTTTTTATTAGAAAAGTAAAAAGCAACATATAAAAAACTAGACCTTGAATTCCCTGTCCTCTGGCAGTATCCCTCAGTTTCATGCTAGCTGGACATGTAGTCTCAGATGGCCAATTTCATCCGCAACTTTTTGTTCCTTCTGGTCCTCATGCTCTACCTAGTTCAGCGTTATTTTGGTTATGCTTCCAGTGAAATGTGCCACTAGGAATCTTGCTAGTGTAGTCACCAAGTATTCCACTTTCTCGTATTAAGCAACATAAAAATATACCAGTGTAGAAAGACATTTTACAAACAAATCCCATCACAACTTTTTCTTCTGAAACATGAATTTGCAAGACTTAACATTTTCTGTCCAAATTACTTCAAAGATGACAGAATAACTGTGGAAGTCATGCACTGACTCCGGAGAGAAACAGATCCTATCAATCAAAAAACCGAGCAGGGCAATGGCCCATGGCTCCCATCACTTAACAGCCTCTTATGTGAGCACCACTCAATTACCAGGACTGAAGTACGCAAAGGCATCCAATTTGCCCGTGGCCTCAAAGCCACATCTGCTAGCCATCGCTCATTAGCATGGTATATTTCTAGCACACTATAAATTGGGCAAACATAGGCTCTCTGATTTCCTACCTGACAGTTAAGAAAATCCCTTTGAATAACAAACCACAGGGCTCCTTTTAATCTAGGGCTAGTGCAGCAAATTAAAGGCCAGACGTCTGCATCACGAGCCCTACCCACACGGCTTGCTGGGTGCTGCTGTCTTGCCAAAGGCCTCGAATTTCACATTTACCCTTGGGAGCCTGCTAAGGAAGCCAAGGGCACCACTTGGGGTTTCCACTTATAAGACTGCACTTCACCCATGGATATTCTCACTTCCTAAAAAGCAGCATTTGGAACTTCACTACCTCTGCTCATCCTCACCAAGTGCCAGTGGAGAATGGCTGGGACTGTACCAAAAGACCCAGACAAACCAACAAGATGACTTAATGAGGTGCCTATATTACATTGGTATGTGTAAATGAGTGATCCACGTGCACGGGAAAAAAAAGCCCAATTTGAACCAGTAGCCTAGATTGAAGTCTTTTAACACAAGTAACATGAAATGTTGGTCTTTTCTTAACGGTCAGATCTGTAACAGACTAGACTACTACAAATGCAAGGAAAAAAAAGGTAGTAAATCCCATAACCCTTTAATCTATGGCATCTGTTGAAAATTACAATTGTGCAAACAGTACCCAGGACAATTTCTCTCCTCATTTCTTGGGCATCAATTACAACGGAAGCAGAAACTCTCCATTAGCAGAAACCAATGACGAAAACAGGGGCTAAAGAGAAAGACTGAAGGCAGGCCTACAATGTGTGTGAATACGGGCTAGTTCTGTGAAACACACTGTGAAAACAGTGATCCAGTTTTACACGTGGATGTATTCTGAATACACAGAAATAGACTCAGAAGCCTATACTGGATTTCTGCAATAGGGGTACTGCAGGTCTCAGCTGTTCTGGTGCACTACACTCACACGGAGATTTTCATGTTACATCCCTCAGCCTACCCAGATGGGCGAGTCAAGAATTGTTAAGAGAAGTAATGAGTGCTTACAAGCACGTCAGCACAGTTGTACAAGACAAAGTTTCCAGCACTGGTTCAGGCGTCCTGCCTTATTCTGCGCCTTTCTATCAGCAGCAGCCAACTAGCCTGCTAGCACGCCTTTTCTTGGCATGCATCAGGCTACAAGAGTGTACACCACACGTTTAACTGCTGTAGGTTCTTGCAGGAGGCCCTTCAAAGAAAAGCACACATCTCTGTAGTAGAATCCAAGTAACCAAGCTCCAACCTAGAATCAAGTCCTCCCACACACAATGTTTAATCTAGAAATAATTCCGGACATATTATTCAGCTTTCTACAGATAGCCAACACCTCAAAATCCTTCCATAACCATAATTGCCAGAACTATCCCTAGCAATAGGAGACAAGGATTTTCCTTCCCCTTCATGCATTTATACACGCGCGCATGTGAAAGAGGCGACTACCAAATCGAATGAAATTACTGCTACATAATGAAGCACAACCTGGCAATTACACTGCTCTTCAATTCAACCCCAGATAACAATAAAAAACTAGTTGAAAAGTTCACCGCATCATTACCTTGCCACTAAACTTCTGACACAGCAACTCTTGTCACATTTTTTACCTGTATTTAATGTAATCTTAATTACATGCTTATATTAGGTGACTGTACTTCTCCATGTGTACCTACAACTCATTAATTAGTTTACAGATACTAAATATGAAGCCAGTGGTGTTTCATTTTCTGGTTTGGGTTGGTTTTGTTTTGGTGTTCTGCTTTTCTTTTCTTTTACAAAATACCTGCCAACAATTCTCAGCATAATTTTAAAAGCACATATTCTGTAACTCCCGTATGTCTTATCCTAGTTTTGCCTTGCATCATAGTAATTATTAATCATTTGTACACAGACATTAAAGTGCCCTTCCATTTTATGATAGTTATCTCATTTCTGTAGAGGCTTGTTCAGAGTGCAAAAACTCGTATTTCAACACAGCTTTCAGTTCTCAACACGTGCTGCTCACGCAGCTGTTAAATAAGAGCTTGAAAAGCAAAGTAACTTTGAATTTTGTTTGTAAGTTGAGAAGAATTACCAAAAACGTTCCAGGGTACGACACCATACTTACAACACAGTTTCACTGACCAGCATCAAAGACCAGAAACTTTCCACCTGTGGTTCTACTTTCAAAATTTTGAACTGCACTCAGATCCAAAGCCAAATTTCTATTTTTTAAAAAAATGAAAATCAAACCCCTATGCACTGGAAACCTGCATTTCCATTAGTCCTATAGACACCTCAGAATGGGTCACCACACCACACCACACAGTCATTTAGCTGCAAACCTTAGCTGAGAGGAAAACACTGAGAGAACATCGCTCTGCCTTACACTGCAGCAGGGCTTCAGCTGCTTCCTTCATTTTATTTGCCATTCACAGCCCAGAACCTCTGTCCCCAGCCGGAACCAAGCCTTTCCTCCAGGAACCCTGCGAGGAAGAAGCAGCTGCAGAGCATTTTCTTTCATTTTCTGAGCAAACAGGAGAAGCTGCAGATCCCTTATTAAATAGAGGCTAAACAGCATTCCCCTGGGATGGGCAGGGCAGGGCAGACATTCAGTTCTTCACCTGAGGGAATCCAGCCGTATTGCCCAGCTCTCCCAAGCCTGGCCTAAACATCCCACAAAATTGCTACTGGGTTAAGAAGGCATGTGAGAGACTTCATCCCTCCTCAGGAGCTGCTCTGCTTTGCCAGTCACCGGGCTGCAGAGAGTGACTCTAAACCTCATATGCAGGGTCCTCCTCTGAAAGAAAAGTGTGCTCAGTTTCAGCCACCAGTCCAAGGGCAATTTTTTTTTCTTTCTTTAACTGAGACAATCTCTAGACAGAATCCATATTTAACAGCTGCAATGGAATGAGCTTGATGTTTACGTTCTCATTAAAAGCACCACAGCATGTACACAAAAAATATGTAAGGTGATATCATGCAAGTTGCTGGGATCAGTTCCCAAAAGCAGGCTTTCCTACTACAAACTGCAGTTGTCTGTTAAAAAGAGGTTTACCTTCCAATAACCAACCCATTTACTGTGCCCCCGCAGTGACGCATCACAGCCAGTAAAGAAATTCCACTCAGGAACTACACAGTGGTTGGTTTAAGGGAGTATTTTCTCCCCTGCCTTTTACATTCTGAACTTTGGGGGCTTGGTTCCGGCTAGGGACAGAGGTTCTGGGCTGTGAATGTCTAAATTTCTCAGAGCTTTTATTTCATTACCTAGGACTAATCTTTAAAAAAAGCTTTCACATTAACAAACCCTCCGTTTCGGCCCTGTGGGAACATGATATCCCATTCAGCGCTTCCAAAAATAGATCAGAAATTACTACATACATTGCTCCAGTAATCAGAGACAGGCGTAGTTTTGAAGAGGCATGTATTTTGTTACTAGTAAGAATCATAATAATTCTGATTAAATAAGTGAAGTATCATTCTATCAAACGACAGCAGTACTTGGCCCTGAATGCTGAGGCATTACGAGAAGCCAATGCACTGGCACAAGCGCCACCTGCAAGTCACATCATCAGATTTTACTGACTTTTTGCTGCCTTTTTCAGAGGGTACATGTGCAAGGTGACAACCAAAGTAAGTGTTCAAATTCAGATCAGTCTTAGAGCATTTCGAGTCCAAACCGGATTCCTGGAAGTTTTGGAAGAGGAACCATGGGTATAAAGGCAACGTATTTCAGATCACAGCACAGAGCCCATACAAGTTTCCAGGAGATCCACAGTCTCAGGGGTATATCCCACAACACAGCTACTGTGGCATTAACACTTCATGCTGGAAAAAAAATGCTGACAGCGTACACCTAAAAAAAAGATTCCCAACAACACACCGTCATCTTCTTCCTCTGATATTTACATTCCAATTTTGCAAGTTCCATTTTCTTCAGTTTTAGTATTTGAGGTTAAACGCCACACGTCTTCCAACAGAAAGCAAAATCACACACACGAAAATGGAAGTTATTACCTCACGCGGGTGTAATTCAACAGGAAACCAGAAAGTTTCCTTCAAGGTAGAAGTTTTGGCACGCGGTCCCTAAACACAGCCTCTGCAAGTTAAACTTTGCGCTGCTGGTAAGTAGTTTTTCATGCCCACAACCTGTTCCTCAGCATTCAAGTTTAATGAAACGCAGTGGCAAACCAGAATTAAATACACACGGACTACCCAAATACAAACACATCTTTTAAGGAAAATAAGCAGCAGATGCTGCTTCTCCTGCCGTGTTCTATTGACTCACACAGACCCTGCTCGTGCATGTCAGACACCTACAGCTTGGAGCCTCCTTAAGAGGCTACCCTTTCCTCAAAAGCACAAAGCAGATGTTTAGATCTATGAGAAGTGCCAGTGGCACTATATGCATACTGTTAACTTCTCTGAACCAGAACTCAAGGAAGATTTAGGGTTTTTTTTAACTCTGAGAGGGTTTTGGACAACTATTAACATAAACTTTACAAAGTTTACTCACTTTACCCCATATTCAACCTGTTTCTGTTTTAGAAAAGTGGTTGGTTAAAAAAAATGAATTAAACTGGTGCAAGACTTTGTACGGACAGTTATGTGCTACTGTAGGGTAAATCCTACTAAACCATCCTCGTTCACTGAAACCCTTCAAATCTCCTTGTATTCGACATTTAAGACTATAAAAAACCCACAAGATGCTCATGGGAAAACTGAATGCGGCGGAATTAACTTTACAAACCCGACTTCTAACATCATTCCCTAAATGGTTACCGCATACTTTGTAAGTATTTTTTAGTCTCAAGATACTTCAGAAAAACAACCACTGGCTGGAGCAGCTCAGTCCTAAGCCCTTTTCATCGCTCACAGGCAGCGGGACAGGCAATGACTCAGGCCTCGCCACAAGCCTTTGGAAACGCATTGCTGGCCAAGAGGCTGCAACACCCATCTGCTTCGGTGCCCGAGCCAGCCCGCCAGCTCCACCGGGC